TGGCTGATGGTGATTCATCCTTGTATGCCCCAGAAGCAAGAGGTGGGACTGTCTGCTGATGCACCGGCTGATTACGTTCCCTCGGTTTCTTCAAATCTTATGTCAGAGGTAACAGATAGGGGTATTAAATGTCTGTTTGTAGTCTTATGAGACAAAATGACATGGTTCATAAGATGAAAGAAAACACGTCAGGTCTCTCTTAGTCTTACTGCCGTTACTCTCTCCCCTGTGAAGATGTGGTTCAGCTGTGGGATATCTGACTCTCCCTCTTGTCCCACTAGCAAACTAGCAGGTACAATGCCCCTGGGTGTTTTTAACAAATCTGTGTTGGCAAACTGTTCTGGCCTGGAAGCTGCAACACTAACAGCAAGCTTCTTTGCAACTTTTGAGAGAAAAACCTCTGTCGGGAGGCTTCCTGTAGGCGTTACTCTGAAGACCATCATTGCAGCTGCAACATATGTAAAGCGCTGATTAGAATGAGTGTAAAATAAGGGTCAGGGATTGGAAAGGGTAGTGGAAAGGTGGAAAAGGGGTTTTCGAGATAAACTAGTGTTAATTCTATTTTGGATGTTTAACTCCTCACTCTGCTGGGGGAACTTTGTTAAAAGGGCACATTCATTACTTCTGCTTTCTCCAATATGCCACACCATTTAGGCAGCTCGAATCACCACATTCGGATAAGTAAGTGAATCAATGCTTATCCACCGCTGATGAGAATAAGAAGATGAAGCCACTCCCCTCTGGAGCTCGGACACAAATGGCAGAATAAAATCTCCTCTAACAGAATTTAAACACAGAACACAAAATCTGCGTAGATTTACAGTAAAAACTGTGTGATTTAGGCCCAAAGCTGCATGCATAGATGGTGACGAGCACAGAAAAACATGGAGTCATGCACCTTTACCAACTGTGGCCATGGTAACAGCAAGATCAGAAGATGAGAATGAGAGTGATTAAACTCCATGTGTGTGTGTGTGTGTGTGCGTGTGTGTGTGTGTGTGTGTGTGTGCAGTGTGTCTGCATAGTAGACCACACCTGTGCTAAATTTTCAGACCCATGCAGACTAGGTCATTGTTACAAATGTTGTAAAGTAACGTGGTTAAAGAAGAAGGGTATGGCTGCCTTGTATGCTTGTGTGTTAAATAATGCATGCAGCATGCAAAGCACTTCATTCCTCCATCTTTCACCCCCCCCCCCCACCTTTTCTATAAATACCCATCATTCTTGCTCTTTTACTCTTGTTTTATGTGACCAGATGTGAAAACAACTGATCTCCTCCTATATTTTTTCTTAATTTCATTCCTTCTTTAGAAAACAACAATAGGCTAGCAGGCAGGGAGAAAAATACAAAGACAGGGGACATCAGGATGAAGGTGTTGTTCAATCACTACTGGGGCTGCTTATGTGCAAGGATGCAACTGCAGATATCGCTCAGACCATTCATTCAGTCTTTTCTCCCTTCCCCCATTTAATCCACATGCTTCAGGTCTGTAGGAGGAGTTGGGAGATGGTGGAACTGGAAGGCAGAGCCCAGCTTCCTTTCTCTGTCCTCTTTCCATATTAATGTCAGAATAAGAATGAACTAGTCCAACCCATTACAGCGCGCGCGTGCGCGCACACACACACACACACACACACACACACACACACACACACACACACACAC